CCCCAAAACCCCAAAACCCCAAAACCCCAAAACCCCATTCCTCTCAAATTTATTGAAAAATAATAAACTCTCTTAATAATTTAAATATGAACAAGCGAGAGGTAAGCGATCACAAAGACTTCACGAATAGTGATAAAGGGTATTCCTAGATGAGGTGACTCTCGTACTAGGAATTAATAATACACATTTTGATACCCGCCAAGATCAAATTTGGGCATTAGCACCACCAAAATTTTTAATATGATTGTATTATTAAGCAAAGCATTTACTGTAAAGTAAACGAGGGCTCATTAAATTAAGCGCAATATTAACAAAACTTCATTGGAATTTCTTAATACCTGAAAATTTCTCATTTCTAGACAGATAATGCTGAAATTCACATCGTCAATATTTCTTAGGAACAATTCAATAATTTTCCCTTAGGATCATAAAAAGTATGAGAGAAGTCCGAATTTGAGGCCAGTAAAGCAAAACGGATTTTATTGTAAATGGCACATCTACCAAATCATTGCATGGATATTGATACTGCTCACTATAGTGTTATTCATCACTTTCTTGGCACCCTCAATGGACACTCCTGTGACGATAATCGCAAGTGTAATTATCGGAATACTGAATGTGATTATAATAATAAGTAAGATAGTGACAACAGCGATTATTCCTACGGATAAAACAGTTTTTCATACTCAGAAAATACTCAAAAAGGATCAGAATTACCTTCCTAAAAATGATGAAAAGTTCTGAATGTACTGACAATCTTTTTCAAAGAAGGAATCAAAGCATTGTGGCCAGTGCAACCGATGAGTTGATGATTTCGATCATCACTGTAAATGGTTGAACAACTGCATAGGAGCAAGGAACTATAGATGGTTTATAACTCTAGTAATAAACACATTCCTCTCAAGCGTAACTGTGTTTATTTTCTGAGTGATTTACTTCATAGCCTATCACAGAAACAAACTCGAAAATGGGAGGGACAGTAAGAATCAGATTTCATCTTATAGCCTCAACTTACATCGGAATTTGTCTATTATCTGTCCTAAACATTGGTAAACTCCTTTTCTGAACCCACCTATTGTGTTTCCAGCTCTACATAAAGTCCAAAGGTCTAACAACTTACAAATATGTGTTAAAAAAGAGGTATGGATCCTTCACCACCCATAAACCTACTCAGGAAAATTTTCAAGCCAAGCTTTTAACCTGGCTATAGGCAGAAGAAAATGAAATAAGGTAGAAGCCAGAACAGAAGAGCTGAAAATGCTGTACGATGAAGTCATGAACGAGTCAAGGAGCCAAGGCAGAATCAGTATCGCTTCCAAAGTCATTGACGATATTTTCACAGAGAGTAAAGGTAACATTTCGAAATTTTGAGCGTTGAAAATTGGTTTTTGGTCATTTTTAGAGCAGCAATATTTTTGAATAGGGTCGATTTGCAAGCTGAAAAACCAAATTTTGGGAAAATCTTGTCAGAGACTGAATACTGAGGAGAAATAGGGAAGTTCATAACCTTATTTCAAAGGCTGAGTTACGAATGAAGAATCGACAGAGCCAGATGTACAAGATTCGTCAGAGCAAATTTCTCCATCTCTATAAAAATGATACAAATTTTGAGGAACCTGAAGAATCTAAAATTTTCAACTTGAATATCAAGAAGTTGAAATAATGAAAGTAATGGATTTAGTAATACCCCAGATACAAATAAAGTATTTCCAGAGTGTCGTACCGAACACGATTATAATTGTAAGCAATTGTCGATGGTATCCAGCAACTCTGGGAGCAATGAAATGTCCTCAGGACCCATATTAACCAAGAAACTTAAGAATCTAAGACAATTGAATACACAATCTGGAAATAAAGAGTCTCCTCTCAAAATTAAGAAGCATTCGAAATCTAGTTTTGATCGTAAAAAAGAAATTAATAATAAAGGTGGACTTCAGTAAGATATATTCTTTTTCATTGTGCTCTGACATTCCATCTTTTTTGTAACATTATCTTGACCATTGCTCCTTTATCTCTGATTTGATTCTATCATATGCATATAGTCCTAGTAAGTTCCAGTTACGCAAATTTCATCCTGAAGAGAACGTGACTGATAAGACTATCACAAATTAGTGGAAAAATAATAATATTAACTATATACCAATTAAGTTTTCTAAGAAATTTATTTTGCTGAATTTTATGTTGACTACAGATTAAAATTAGAATCTATAATAAAGTAATATACAGCTTTAATGTTCACCTGCATCAGCCCTCTTGGGGTTTTGGGGTTTTGGGGTTTTGGGGTTTTGGGG